TTTTTTTTTTTTTTTTTTTGTCAACAAGGGGGACCAAGTCGGGGGACCTAGTTCATGGAGCAGAGTGACTGGATTCTTTTGGTGGAATCACTCTCACATTGAGGCTTCCGAGCAGTGGGGAAAGGGGAAGGCGTCCCCCCAGGGGCTGAGCTAGCAGAGCAAGTGACACGGGCTGAAAAGTGTCCTTGGTTATGTGTCCCTTAGCAAGACTCAGCACTTACTAGCTGTGTGACTGGGCAAGGCCCTCAACCTTTCTGTCCTGCACGTTTAGCTATAAAGCAGAGGCGGGGTGTGGCCGTGATGGTCAGGCGACATGTGTGACGCTCGGGATAATCCCTCGCACATAATAAGCACCCGAGAAATGCAGCACCTGTCATTATTCTTCTAGCATTGTCGCTGCCACCCCTGTCTACCACTGATAATAAAGAATGCACTTTTTTTTTCAGCACTGGAGATTAAACCCAGGGCCTTCACACTGAGGTACAATCCCAGCCTATTTCTTATTTTATTTATTTATTTTGGTGCCAGGGATCGAACTCCGGACCTTGGGCTTGGGAGGAGGCAGGAGGTGGCACCACTGAGCTAAATCCCCAGCCCTGTATTTTTCATTTTGAGACACTGCTTCAGTAAACCACTAAAAATAGCATAGGCTGGATTTGAACTTGCGGTCCTCCTGCCTCAGCCTCCAAGTACACACGAGAGAGATTGGGAAGTTACCAGCAGCTGAAACTCCTCCCCTGCCCAGGAAGGGCGCGCCCCTGCCCGTCTTGGTTCCAAAGGGAGGGGAAGGGAGCGCGCTTCTCACCTGCAAGGCCCGGTGAAGTTTGTCCGCAAAGTACAGCGGCGTGTTCCGGACCACTGAGGCTGGAAGCAGAGGGAAGGGCGCAAGGCCAGGTTCAGGGGCTCAGCTCCCCGTCCCGGGGAGAGCCCTCCGCCTCCTCAGTGGGTCCCTACCTAGGCTGAGCAGGGCCGCCTGGGCGCGCCCGTGGAAACGGTCTCGCACAGCCTCCTCCAGCGCTCGCCCCATGCGCCACTGGTACAGATCGCGCACTTGCGTGTGTGTGGGGGGAGAATCAGAAAGAGAGCGTGACGGTGGGGCAGAAGTCATTGTCACAGGCAGGGGTTCCCTCCCTCCGCTGCCTCGGCCACTCATGAGAGCCAGCGCAGGCCCGCGTGTACCTCGAAGGAGGTGCTGTGGGCTGCGCTGGGTGAAGATCCGGACCCACGGGCCTTCTGGGCGGGGCCTTTCCACCTGCTGCAGCGCCTGGGGTGGAGGAAGGAAAGAGCCTGCTTGGGGTGTCTCCGAAATCCGTTGTGGTGACCGTGGAAATGAGATCAAGGTGGAAAAGGAGAGGGAGAGAGAGGGAGAGAGAGGGAGAGAGAGAGAGAGAAATGTGTGTGTGAGTGTGTGTGCAGCACGCGTGCGTGCACGTGTATTATGTATTTATGCAAGAACAAGGCTAGATACCGGCCCTGCCCTCGCAAATCTCTTCCCCGATTTGGAAAACTCCAGTGTCTGGACGGCTGCCCAGGACAGCAAACTTAGGAGCTCCCGGAATTCAGGAGACAGGGAGGAGGCAGCTGCTGTGCTCCTAGGCCATGCCTGCCCAGGGTAGGAGCCCCCGTCCTGGGCAGGACCTGGGCGCACAGCTGGGCGGAGGGCATCTCCAGTGCCACCTTGCCAAGGCCCGGGCCCCCAGCTTACCTGGACATCCTGCTCTGCCAGATTGTAGTCAATGATGCCGGAGTAGCTCTCACGACCTCCCTAAAAGGAGAAACTTCTCAGGAGGATTTTATTTATTCTGGTGTTACCAGGGATTAAACCCAGGGCCTTGGACCCGAGCTACACATCCCCAGCCCTTTTTAATTCTTTTTAGACAGGGTCTCTAAGTTGCTAAGTTACCCAGGGTGGGCTCAAACTTGTGATCCTCCTGCCTCAGCCTCCCAGAATGCAGGGATTACAGGCACGTGCCACCGAGGGACAGCTTTCTATCCCCAGACTTGGGCCTCCCAAAGCCCCCTCTTATTTGTCGAACCTCAGCAATCCTTCTGCTCTTGCCCATCTCTGGACCCGATGCGGGTAACTCCCTTCCGGGCAGGCCAGTCCCCCTCACCTTGGCCAGGGCCAGGAGCAGGTCCCGCAAGATGCTGCTGGTCTCAGACTTGATATCCTCCTCAGCTTCCACCTGGAAACCTGGGTGGGGCCAGGAGCTCTCTGACCCGTCCTGGTCGTCCCAGTGTGGACGCCCAGGGCCCGTCCATGGCCTGACCCCTGTGTCCTGCCAGCCCTGTCTCCTGCTCAGAGCAGCTGGGTGGCTGCCCATCCCTGGAAGTGAGGCCCAGGTGCAACATCTCAGCCGGCACCAGCGCAGCCAGGCAGGAGGCGGCCCCTGTCAGAGGCAGGCAGTGCCACAGAATGGAAAGAGAGATGGCCGGGCCTGGCCCTGCAGAGAGGACGGCGAAGACCCAGGGGGCGCGAGGGAGGGCGTGAAGCGGGGTAGACGGGAAGGGGAGAAAAGGAGGGGAACAGAGGAAGACGTGAAGGTGTAGCTCAGTCACTGCTCTTGTCTGCAAGTACGGAGGCCTTAGCTTCCATCCCCAGCACAGATGAAGGAACCAGGCGGGGAGAGAGGTGAGAGAGGCAGAACTGCAGCGGAGCCTCAGAGGAAGAGCGGAGGAGCCGAGGTGAAGAGAGACAACTTGCTTGTAAATCAGGGGAGGCAGGCGGCAGCCAGCCCATCAGCCAGGGGCCAGACAGGTGGCGCCCAGGGTATGGGAGGTGACACCAGCACCTTCACGGGGGCTCTTGCAGTGCCCAATGTTGTCATTACTTTGCAATCTGTCCCAGAGCCCCAGGCTAATCATTGTTTCTCATTTTGTAATGATCACATGTGGTTTATGCTCCTGGGGAGACGGAGGCATGGAAGGGTGGGGGGAACCGAAGGGAAGAAAATTTGTCCAGTCCAGACCCCAGGTGGCTGTGTCCAGGGAGCACGAGGGGACGCTGCAGCCCGGGAGACCCCCCCCAGATTCTTACTGTGTTTGTAGGCTGCCAGGCACTCCTGCAGCTGCGGTGGGGCTCGGGTGGTAAGAATTTCCATGGCCACATCCTCGGCAGAGCCTGAGGCCTGCAGGAAACCAGGAGCCACTCTCAGACCGGGCCAGGTCCTCAGGGAGGCTGACGGGGCAGAGAGCAGGCGTGGCCGGTTCACCTAAGGCCGACGAGGGCGGTCAGAGGAGCCCTCCCCTTCCCACCGGGTCCTCAGTCCCCAGCAGCGGCCCTTCAGGTACCTTCAAGGCCGTCCTCAACTCCTGCGCATCGGTTTGGGCTGCAGGCTGCAGCAGAGCCACCACAATCCGCTCCAGGCTTCCGGAGAGAGCCGCCTGCAGGGACTTCAGCAGGTCCTAGGATAAAGCGTCCCCACAGCAGAGGCAGGAGACCCCCAGGGTCAGGCTGCCCTTGCTGCACCCTGAGTCCCGCCAGGGTTCTGTCTGGCTCACCTGCTGGGTGCGCTCCCGGAAGGCCTGGGAAATGAGCTGCCGTTGCTCTCTGCTGCGATTGGTGAGCACCTGCACAATGGCGCCCTGGTCCACACCTGAGCGAGGGGAAGGCGGGGCTGGGACCCTCCTTCTACTCCGTGGGGGACAACAGGGTCTAGGGGAGGACTGGGAAGGGAAGGGGCAGGGGCTACCCCATCTACATTTTATCTAAAAAGATGTAAATAAAATGTCAAAGCAGCATTCAAATCTGATACCTGTTTAGGCAAAGGGGAACAGGTGTGATGGTAAAAAAAAAAAAAAGACTTTTTTTTTGAGACAGGGTCTCACTATGTAGTGGAGACGGACCTGGAACTCGCTATGTAGCCCAGGCTGGTCTCAAACTCACAGTGATCCTCCTGTCTCAGCCTCCCTAGTGCTGGGATTACAGGCATGCACCACCACACCTGGCTAAAAAGGCTTTTTGGGATTGGCTAACATGTTTTAGAATCTTAGTTCTTTTTTTTGGTACTGGGGATTGAACTCAGGTCCTTGCACTTGAAAGGCAGGCAGTAGAACCACTGAGCTAAATCCCCAGTCCTCTTTTTGTTTTAGATGGGGGTCTCACTATGTAGCTCAGGCTGGCCTTGAATTCACTGTAGCCTGGGCTGGCTTTTTTTTGTTGTTGTTGTTACCAGGTATGGAACTAGATGTCTGCCTTGTGCTTGCGAGGGAGATGCTGCACCACTGAGCTAACTCCCCGGCCCACCCTGGCCTTGAACATGTGGTGATCCTCCTGCCTCAGCCTTCCGAGAACCGGGGATTACAGGTGTGTGCCACTACGCCTGGCTCTAGAATCTCAGTTCTAAACAGATTGTGATTAGTGTACACCTCTAATCACAATACTGTGGGGGGCTGAGGCAGGAGGATTACAATTTTGAGTCCAGACTAGGCAATTTAGCAATTCAGCAAGATCCTGTCTCACAGAAATAAAAAGGGTCAGGATTTAGCTTAGTGCAATAGGTATGCTTTTGACTGGGTAACTTGGTTTACAGTTCCAATTCTGGCATTCCAAGGTATGCCTGCCTGTAATCTCAGTTCTGTGGGAGGCTGAGACTGGAAGATCTCAGTTTGAGCCCAGCTTGATCGGGTTAGTGACTTGATGAGACCTTGTCTCAAAATTAAAAATAAAATATGGAGCTGGTGGGGTGGTGCATACCTGTAGTCCCAGCACTCAGGAGGCTGAGGCAAGTGTTTTGCCAGGAGTGCAAGGCCAGCCTAGGCTCCATAGTGAGTTTAAGGCCAGCCTGAACTACATAGCGAGACCTTGTCTCAAAACACAAAACCAGCTGGGGATTTAGCTCCGTGGTTCTGCCACCTGCCTCGCAAGTGTAGGGTCCTGAGTTTGATCCCCGTACAAAACAAAACAAAAAACAAACAAAAACCCAAACAAACAACCAAATCAAACAAAATTAAAGATGGCTGGGGATATAACTCAGCACACAGGCTCTAGGTTCAACTCCCAGTGTGGGGGTGGTTGGGTGGGGTCCCAGTTGTGCTCCTTTGACCTGAGTGACCTTGGGTGAGCCTGTTAAGCATCTTAACCTCCCTGAGTCCCAACTCCCCACCTGCAAGGTGGGTGGAAATAATAAGCTCATGTCACAGGCCTGTTGGGAGGAGAGATGGGAGGGTGGGACGCTGCCTGGTGTTTGACTTGCAGGGATGAGGGTGTTTTACCGACAGCTGGGAGTGTTAGCTCCCCCGCCTGGCTTCCAACAGGCACAGCCCAGCACGCAGGGGAGGGGCTTACCATGGCCTGTGATGGCTCTCAGGAGCCTCTGCACGTCCTTGTCCACACTGAAGCTCAGGAAGGTCCTGAGAGTGCCCAGCGTCCCCCAAGCTGCAGTCTGTAAGAGCAGGGCATTAGCAGGGGCCTTCCCTGCCGGCCTAGAGCCCTGGCCAGGCCCACTCTCCCTTTCCTATTCTCCCATGGTCTCACAGCCTCTGAGAAGATGCATTAAAAATGATTCCTAGCTGGGGACAGTGCCTATAGTCCCAGCTACTTGGGAGGCTGAGGCAGGAGGATCTGGAGTTTTACGGCAACCTGGGCAACATAGTGAGGCCCTGTCTCTAAAGACAAAACCAAAATCCTCCCCCCAAACCAGGTTCCTAAAATCCTAGCAGCTCCTGCCTTGTCGGCAAGGCCCAGGTGACTGAGGATTTCCTGGGTCAGCGATGAGCCCATCTCTCCACTGCTTGCAGACGTGGTACAAGCTGACTTAGGGAAGGAAGGCAAGAGGAGGCCACAGGGCCCAGTTAGGCCTCCGGAGGTTCCTCGGCACTGGGGCCTGGACTCCCACTGCTGACTCCTTTCGCTTGCTGCAGACAAAGGAAAAAAAAAAAATTAACCTGCTTAGCGGGCTTGGAAACATGAACCAGAGGGCAAGAGCAAAGGCATGGGGAGCGGGAACAGGAAGGGGAAGAGAAAAGGGGATGAGGCGGGGAAGAGGGAGGGAGGGGAAGACCCCCACCCCACTCCACCGCACCCCCTTCAGGAAGCAAGGGTGGACCAGAGGCAGCGGATCAGCACCCACCACACCCTCCCTAACTCCGAGTTGGACCCAAAGCTCCTCAACCCTTGGCTCGAGACAATGCTCCCTTCCAAGGTCGGCAGCCGGGCTGGATCCTCCCGGGCAGCACCGGGGTGCTGAGGTACCACGACGCAGTCCAGAGGGTGGGCGATGCCCAGCCCTGCCAAGGCAGCCCCACCTGCCGTCACCTTACCCGGTGGCGCCTCCATCAGCAGCTGGGAGGTCTGAGCCGATGCAAATCCATGCCCTTGTGGGACCCGGGCACCTGGACTGGCGAGAGGCAGTGCCACTCACCTGGGTGCGGCTCCCCCCGAGGTGTCCTGCCCGCGGCCTCCCGGGTGTGGGCAGT